GAAGATCTGGAGGAAAATCTGGAGGAAGATCTGGAGGAATATCTGAACGAAGACCTGGAGAAAGATCTGGAGGAAGATCTGGAGGAAGATCTGGAGGAAGATCTGGAGGAAGATCTCGATGAAGATCTGGAGGAAGATCTGGATGAAGATCCGATTGAATCCAGGGAGAAGATCTGGGTGAAGGTCTGGGGGGAAGATCTGGAACAATATATGATGGAGGAAGATCTGGGAGGAAGATCTGTGATGAAGATCTGAGAGGAAGATCTGGGAGGAAGATCTGGGAGGAAGATCTGGGTGAATATCTGGGTGAATATCTGGGAGGAAGATGTGGAGGGAAGATCTGGTGAAGATCTGGGAGGGAGATCTGGAGGAAGATCTGGAAGAAGATATGATGGTTATGCTGGTGGCTCTGTTGGTGGTTGCGCTGGTCTCTGTGCTGTCGGTCGTGCTGCTCGTTTTGATGGTGGTTTCGCTGGTGACGACTTTGCTGGTGATGGCGCTGCTAGTTGCGATAGTGGTTGCGCTCGTGGTGGTGGTGGTTGCGATGGTATTTCTGCCACTAGTTTTGCTGGAGAGGCGGAAGGTGGTTTGGCTGGGGATTCTGCTGGCACGCTGGCGGAGGAAACACCCAGTGGATAAAGTGCTGGTGCGTTGGCGGAGATTTCGAATCAATTTCTTTGTTAATACTTGCGCCGGTGGTTTTGCTGGACATGTTGCTGGTAGTCGCGTTGTTCATTTTGCTGGTGATTCTGCTGGTGCTGGAGGAAGATCCGGAGGAAGATCTGGAGGAAGATCTGGAGGAAGATCTGGGGGAAGATCTGGAGGAAGATCTGGAGGAAGATCCGGAGGAAGATCTGGAGATAGATTTGGAGGAAGATCTGGAGGAAGATCTGGACGAAGATCTGGAGGAAGATCTGGAGCAAGATCTGGATGAAGATCTGGAGGAAGATCTGGAGGATGATCTGGAGGAAGATCTGGAGGAAGATCTGGAGGAAGATCTGGAGGAAGATCTGGGGGAAGATCTGGAGAAAGATCTGGAGAAAGATCTGGTGAAAGAGCTGCGTGGCGACCCGGAAGGAGATCGGGAGTAAGATCTGAGAGGAAGATCTGGAGGAAGATCTGGTGCAAGATCTGGGGGAAGATCCAGGGGAAGATCTGGGAGAAAACCTGAAGGAAGATCAGGGGAAAGATCTAGGGGAAGATCTCTATGAAGATCTGGGGGGAGATCTAAGGAGGGATTGATCTGGGCGAGGATCTGAAGGAAGATCTGGGCGGAGATCTCGGAGAGGATTTGGGCGAAGATCTGGGGGAAACTCTCGGAGAGAATACAGAAGAAGATCGGGAAGAATATCTGAGGGAAGATCCAGAGCAAGATCTCGACGAAGATCTGGAAGAAGATCCCGAAGATCTGGAGGAAGATCAGTAAGAAGATGCTGGCGTTAAGAAACTGAGCCAGCTTTGGGGAATTCGTTATCGAATTTAAAGAAATTTTGAGACCCAGCTTGGCGGGAGGGAGTTTCTTAACAGAAGATATGAGTGTAGACTTGTGGGGAGGCAGTAGATAGACTTGGGGTGCGCAATACACTCCGGTGCGCAGATGCATCGCTGGATGTTCGCGTGCAAGGCACGAGTTGCAACACAAGGCTGGACACTTCTCTGGCGCAGTACGTGTGCAAAACGATGGCACCCCAGCGATGGCACCACCCCCGTTCAGCAGGACCCCCCCTTCCGGGCCACGAGGCAGGGGACGGAGCGCAGGGTGCCCTCCTGGCCACGGCCAGCCTCGGCCACGCACAGATCCCACGGCAGCGATCCGAGGAGCGGCCCGACGGCCCGAGCCCCCCCCCCCCCCCCGGGCCCCAGATGGTCCGCTGCGTCACCCGTCGCGGCCGCGCAGTCCACCCGCATCTCAGGGGCGCGCGATAAGGATGCGAGGGCCTCGGAAGGCCATGCCGGCGCTTTGCGAGCGGGGCGCGGCCAGCGAGAGCGGCCAAGGATGGACCGAGGAGGGAAGGATGCAAGCGTACCCCATCCTTACTATGCGGGTTGACTGTATCAGCACATTACATGTCAAACATCGAGCCCAAACCCTGACTGAGGTCGCCGCGCGGGGGATGGGGGGGGAAGGGGCGGCGGATGCGGCCCGAGTGCCGGCCGGGGCCCTTCCTGCTTCAATGGCGCCGCGGCCGACCTTGGTGGCGGAGGGCGGCCGAGGAGGGGGTGACCACGCTCACGATGGCCGGCTGTAGAGGATCAGGGGCGGCCTGATCTCAAGCCATCACGGGTTGGCTCGAGGAGCCCGCCCGGCGATGCACATCAGCCGGGCCACGCAAAGTCCCGGAGGCTCCACAGCTGGCCAGATGATCAGCACGCTCATTCACGAGATTCCCCAGTATGGCTTCCAACCTGAAGACAACATGACAATCAACCTTATCGACGGCGAAGTCGCAAAACAGGCTGAAGGTCGTCAAGAGGGCGCAAGAAGGCGTCAAGAGGCCAGAGACGCGATCACCTGCAAACAAATTCGTCCGCACGGATTTCTCCAAACATCATCATCTGGACGACCTCGTCCGGAAGAACGCTCTTCCGGACGAACTCGTCGCGGAAGAGAAATCGTTCAGGATGAACCGGCTGTCCTCCGTGGGAAGGGCCTGTTGCTCATCGGGGAAGAGCAGGGAGGCGAGGAGGGAGAAGGAGAGAGGAATACAATGGAGGAGGAGGAGGAGGAGGAGGAGGAGGAGGAGGAGGAGGAGGAGGAGGAGGGCATCGGGGGCAGGCGAGGAGGGAAGAAGCGAGGAGGGAGGCCAGGAGGGACCTCAGGGGGGGGGGGGGGGGGGGGGGGCGAGGAGGGCGGGATACGGCAGGCTCGCGTCGTGCCGACTTCGGCGTTGGCTCCTGACACCGAGGGGATCTTTCGTCAATCGAACAATAACAAGCGACATGAACATAAACTTTTCGCGCTCCGCGCGGATTTCTTGAATCCGCGCTGGGCCCCCGCGGAGCGCGCCAGGGACGACGCCGGAAGCGCCGCCAGGGGAGGCCCAGCGCGGATCCAAGAGATCCGCGCGGAGCGCCGAAAGTTTACTTCTTTACTCCTTCGGTTTCACCTGGAACGATCGGCCGTCCTCCAAACGTCAGATCGTTCCACACCGATCGATTCTGGGTCGCGGCGGGCGTTCGGCGTGGAACGCAGGCGGTGGGGCCGCCGCCGATCGACGCGACGCGATCCTGCCGTGCATTCTGCATCCCACCTCCCCCTCGTCTCCGGATTCCCCCCCCTCCTGCCGATACGATCGACCGCACTCACGCACCCCCACTCAGCGCCACGCGCGCTCTCCCCCCCCCTCTCTCCTGCTCCTAGCCCTTCTGCTCCCTGTTCCTCCTAAGTAGCTCCTCCAAGTCGCAACTCGGGGCGCTTCGCATGCGACTTCCCTCGCCGCTTGCGATCTTGAAGCTGTACGGTGCCGCCAGCTACACGGACAAGGGACGGGCTGTTCTCAACGTGGGCTCCAGCTGTGGCGACGCGACACTCGTCCTAGACAACATCCAATGGATGCACGGGTGGAGGGAGCCTCGTTTTCAAGACGTGGATCCCGCAAGGGCCCGCCGCGCGCACCCGTCATCAGCATCGTCCAGCAGGGGCCCAGGGGGCCCCTCTTGGAGGGCCCGCCGCGTTGCTTTTGTTCCCCCTCGCTCCTCTTCTTCCTCCTCCTCCGCCTCCGCCTCCTCTTCCTCCTCCTCTTCCTCCCCCTCGTTCCTCTTCCTCCTCCTCGTCCTCCGCCTCGTCCTCTGGGCACGAGGACTCTGAACAGAGAGGTTACACAAACATGGGCTCCAGCTGTGGCGGCGCTGCCAGGGGGGCCCATCGCCGATCTAAAACGGCAGAGAACATGCGGATCCGTTTGCTTCATGGCGATCTTTGCAAAAAAGGGGACCCAGGGGGACACAAATAACTCGACACCTATTCACATATTTCCGACACGCTCCCAAATTCCCCAGATCTTCGTTCCGTCGAGCCCACGTCGAACGCGCCAGATCAGTGCCGAGTCCGCGCCGAAACCCCATCGAACTCACATCGAATCTGCGTCGAGCCCACGGCGGAGTACAAGCAAAGACAGCAATATGCACAGGAGCGCGGCGCAGCTTTGCCCGTGCCCGTGGCGGTCTCCGGGCCGCAGCTCGGGCCCCGGGGCCGCTCGGGACGCTCTGGGCACTCCCGGACCGCTCTCGGCGGTACGCAGCTGCTGGAGACCATCCCGAGGCTTCTGTTGCTCCCATCGTACTTTGAGCAGGGGCCGACCGTCCCGGCATTCCTATAGTCCTACCACGAAGTGTTCTTAGAACCCCGAACTGTTCTAAGAACAAAAACAATGTTCTTAGAACATAAGCCCGATGCGTTCAAACAAGACAGTCCCAACAAGAAATGTTCTGAGAACGCTTCGTGGAAACTGCAACAGGTTCTTAGAAGATTGTTTGGTATGGGCACGCCGGGACGCTTCGCCACTGCTTGAGTACTTAAGGACCAGGTCCCAGAAATCATTTCGAGCTCCCAGAATACTATCGAAACCGTGTCGAAAGAGTATCGCCTCACAGGGCCCAGCGCGTGAAAGCCCTCCAGTTTCGGTGCTTTCCTGTTGCTCCAAATTCTTTCGGGTGGTCAAGACCAAAGTGGGTTGGAACATCAGAACCCGAGGCTGGAGAGCCGCGGACCACCGACGAACAAATCCGAAAACCTCAGAAACGGTGCCGCTTGTGACTGCCTGCCAGACCACCCCAACCCAACCCGAAGACTCGAATTTCGGGTTGGGGGGGGTAAGGGTTCCACGTGTGTTTTTGTCGATGTTTCCCGACCCCCCCCACTGGAAATCGAGGGTAAATCTGAGCTCTCGGGTTGGGTTGGGGTGGTTTGGTGGGTGGTGAGCTTGATCAGAGGCTCCGCCCCCCCTGAGATGCAGTGCAACGCCCGCCCCGCGGCGGCAGACGACCTGGCGACGACCGACCGGCGAGCCGAGCGCCCGGCTGCGCGCCGCTGGCCACCTCCGCGGCGGTGGAGCTCAGCAGGTCCACGGCGTCGAGGGTGGCGTCCTGCCGTCGGTTGTCGGTCGTCGGTCGTCGGTCGTTCGTCGTCGGTCGTCGGTCGTCGGTCGTCCGTCGTCGTCGTCGTCCGTCGTCCGTCGTCAACGTTGGTCGTCGTCGTCGTCGTCGTCGTCGTCGTCGTCGTCGTCGTCGTTGTCGTCGTCGTCGTCGTGGTCGTGGTCGTCGTCGTGCTCGTCGTGATCGTCGTCGTCATCGTCGTCCTCCTCCTCGCCGCCAATCGTCGTCATCGTCGTCATCGTCGTCCGTCGTCGTCATCGTCGTCGTCGTCGTTTGCCGTCGGTCGTCGGTCGTCGGTCGTCGGTCAACGGTCGTCGGTCGTCGGTCGTCGTCGTCATCGTCGTCGTCCGTCGCCGGACAAACTCGGACAGGGATAAATCGCATATCTGCTGGTTCGGGAGGATGTATCGGGCGACGCGGCCTTGTCACAGCGTTCCAGAATGCTCTGAGAGCGTTCCAGGACGCTCTGGAACGATCTTATCCGTCCTAGCCCCGCCCAAATCCTGTCGTCGACGCCGTCGTCGTCGCCGTGGTCGTCGTTACCGATCGTCGTCGTAGCTTAACTGGGGCTCAAGCTTTTCCGTATGCCTCCATTTGCTAGGCTCCCGTCTACGGAGACCTCAGGGACCCTCAAGCAGAGGCGCAACCATACGTGGAAACCAACTTTCCCCGTGCCCCCCTTTGCTGTGACGCCATCTCCACTGACCAGATTGTCGACGCGGTCGTCGTCGTTGGTCGTCGTCGTCGTCGTTGCCTTTGTCTTTGTCTTTGTCTTCGTCTTTGTCTTTGTCTTTGTCGTCGCCCGTCGTCCAGCGTCCGTCGTCCGTCGTCGTCGTCTGTCGTCGTCGCTGTCCGTCGTTCGTCGTCCGTCGTCCGTCGTCCGTCGTCCGTCGTCCGTCGTCGTCGTCGTCGTCGTCGTCGTCGTCGTCGTCGTCGTCGTCGTCGTCGTCATCCGTCGTCGTCTGTCGCCGTCGTCGTCGTCGTTGTCGTCGTCGTCGTCCCCCTCCATAACCTGCTCGTCGTCGTGGTTTTCTCCTACTCCTCCTCGGTCTTCGTGTCGTCTCGCCACCGTCACTCGCCCCGAGCCCTCGTGACAACTACCAATCGGATGGCCGCCGAACGCAGTCACGGTTCTCTTCCAAGGGTCATACTCCCCCTCTCCCATTGTGTCTCTCTCTCTCTCTCTCTCTCGCTCTTTCACTCTCTCTCTTCCTCTCTCTCACACACTCTTTCTCTTTTTCCCTTTCCCTCCCTCGCTCTCTCTCTCGCTCTCTGTCCCCCCCTTTGTGTTGCACCAGCAGCGGCGGCGGCGGTGGCCGCCGCGGCCCGCCCGCGCGCCGGCGCGGCGGCGGTCCCTCACGGCGCCGACGGCGCCTTTCTCCCGGAAGTCCTGCACGGTGCTCTTCCACTCCTTGCGCGGGTGCGTGGGGGGGAGCAACGAGAAATGCAACAGTCGCAGTGTAGGATGTGTGAGGACTGGAGGCGGAAGGAGGGTGCGGGAAGAAGAGGAATTGGGAGGGAGGATCATGAAACAATGATGGAGCGGTGATACATGATGAAGAGGAGAAACAAAAGAAGAAGGATATTTAGAAGGGAGGAGGAGGAAGAGGAGGAGGAAGAGGAGGAGGAACAGGGAGGAGAGGTAGGAGGGAGGAGTAGGAGGACATGGGAGGGATGAGGACAAGGGGTGGAGGGGGGAGGAAGGAGGGAGGAGGAAGAGGATGAGGAGGACGAGGATGGGTGGTGGAGGGAGTTGGGAGTGGGGACTGGAAGAGGGCGAGTAGGCGGAAGGGGAGGGGGGACGGAGGACTGTATTGGGCACGTCTGTAGTGCGAGTGGCAGTGGCTACGACTGCGGAAACAGACAGAGGTGGAACTAGGACCTCGGCTATGGGAGACTCGTTGCCGAACTGCACGGAAGGCAACATGTGATCGCGAGAGGCGGCAGGTCCCACTTGAGCCGACCTTTCGCATCCCTCAGCCCTGGCAGACAATCACTCTTGAACTAGCCTCGCGCACTCACACCGACAATGTTCAAATGAATCACTTCAGCCGGCCCGCGAGGATGATGTAAGGAGAAGGCCGTTGGGGGTCTCTGTCCCTGGCTTGCTTGAAAGCGAGCTGTGCCCCTGGGGAAGAATGTGGACGCACGCCCGGTGCCTGGTCAGGTCGGCGGGCTGCCTGGGGTGCAGCGTCCATCCCTCGGCAGGGGCGTGGTCCGCATATCCCGCTAGCAAGGGACCCTGCTCAAGAGAGGTGGACAATGGAAAGGCAGGAGGCGGGCGGCCAGTAGGAGGAGGAGGAGGAGGAGGAGGAGGAGGAGGAGGAGGAGGAGAACACGTACAAAATTCGACCCAACCATGAAATAATCAAACTTTTAAAGTGGATAGATTTTCGGGCCATGACCAACAAATAAAAGACAGACAATCCACTCGAAATCTCATTATTGCTTCTCCTGCTGCTGCTGCTCCTCCTCCTCCTCCTCTTCCTCCTTCTTCTCTTCCTCATCCCTCCCTCCTCGCCAGCATCCTCCTCCTCTTCCTGCCTGATCCTTGTCCATTTCCTCCTTCTCTTTCCTCCCTTCGGCTTTTTCACGCTTCCCTCTCTTACTGCCCCCTCTCCCTTGCGCCTCCTCCTCCTCCTGATCCTCATCCCCCCTGTTTCCTTCTCCTCCACCTCGACCCCACCTCCTCATCAATAATTCCTTGTCGCCGTGCCACCAAGCGTTCCGGGCGGACGGCTCAAGCGTGCCGCCTCAGACTGACTTCCACGCTGTCTCATGATGGAGTTTGAAGTTGCCAGCAGCTGCATGCATTGAGCGTGGGCAATTCCCGAAAGGCGTCCAGCGCCTTGCGCCGCACACGCTCGTCTCACAAAGGTGTCGACAAATACACGGATGGCAGGGGCGCTGGTGTTCAACATGTGGCTGTCGCCTGATCCCCGCGCACATTCTTTTAAACGCATGCAGCGCTTACGCGGTAGGAGGTTCTAGGGCCGTCCCTTTCAAACTTGAGTTCCCGCCTGATGCGGTATGAGAATTTATGGTGCGAAGCACACAGTTACACGGATGGGAGGTGGCTCATTTTCAACCTGGGTCTCTCGCTTGAGACGTTTCCTTGGGCCTTCTCACAACCAATGCTTCGAGCCGTAACACTTACATGGCTTGAGGACGACACCCTGTTACAGCATGTGCTGATCTTTCGGCACACATGCGTTTTTCTCAGATGGGCCACCTTAGTACTCCTGACCGTCATTCGGATGAAGCCCTGCGCTCTCGCCTGAATGACCAACCAGTTGAACATTACAGTCATGACACTGCCAGGCAGAACGCTGATTCATGACCGCAACTTATTTTTGGCCCCAGAAGCGCCACGGTGCACGAAGAAAGCTATAGGAACAACCACGGAATGACCCAAGGAACAGCTCGCACCTTCCGAACCCAAAGCGCTCTTCATTTCAGCGCCATGGCTGCACTTTTGCAAGCGGGCACTGCCGTAGTCAAAGCGAATGTTTGCAGCAACCTGTGAGGCGGGAGGATGGGGAGGATGTACTGCAGCATCGTTGGTGCATCCTTGGCTTGATCTGGTTCTCCTCCTCCTCCTCCTGCTTCTCATCCTCCCCTTCTTCCTTCCCCTCGGCCTCGTTCCCCCCAGAGGAGCGCACAATTAACGAGTCACATTCCTTCCCGTCTTCCTTCTCCTGCCCCTTCACCTTGTCTTCCTACACCTGCCTTCTCTCCCTCAGCAAAGCTCCTGCTTCAGGGAGTCCATTGCGGAGACCACCATGCCACCTGAAGGATAAGGGCGGGGCGCTTTTGCCGTTCCCCTCTGCCCGTGCTGCCTCTGGCGCTTATACTCCGCGGCGCCCCCTGGGACTGGGCCAGGAACAAAACTTAAAAGGGAAGCCCCGAGAGACACGCAAACAGTCGAAACCAAATCCCGACACGCGTCCCCGAAACAGTTTAACATGGTGTTGGCCCATGTCGAAACCACGGCGGCAACAACCGAAACCGACATCAGCAATTCCTAAAAATCGTACCGCACCCATATCGGGCGCACCTCCTGTCCAGAAAAAACGTAGAAGCCACCATCAGATAGCGACGGTCGTTACGTTGAGCCGAAAAATCATATATGATCCTCTCCCCCTTCGTCTCCATCTGCTAGCCCCCCACCCACGTCCTTCTTCGCTGCGACCGAGAGAAACACACGGGGGTCCCAGGAAGGCCCGAAGGCCGTTTCAGGAGGGGGCCAACTGGAGTTTTGAAAAACGCGAATGGCCTGGAAGACCCCCCCCCCCAAACCACGAACGCAAGACCGAGCGTTGACATCAAGCCCGAATGTTTCTCTCCCACAGCCGAGCCCTGGTGCAGCGGGAGAAGGCGGCCACCCTCGAAAACGCAGGTGGTTGGCCGAGGGGCCGCGCCCAGGGCGGGACGGAACTGGAAAGGGAGCGGGCGGGGCGGAAGAGGGGGGGGGATATCAAACGCCAATTTCTGAAGGCCCGAAGACCCCGCGCGAGCTCGGAGATGCATTCGGGAACCAATGAAATAACATTCGGCCTGAACTGGACTAGCGTCGGACGCCGCCGACCCACCCCGTTGACATCCCTTTGACGCGTGGCAGCTTGACAACACGGCAAAGGGGGATCGAGCGTTCAGGGTTGTTTCGAGTGCACTTTTCGAGGCAGGTGGGGAGGGATATGGGGGGGGGCGAGGGCGGAGGCGGCAGTGGGGGACCTAGGGTGAATGGGGCGGGGAGGCAGGGCAGAGTAATATAGAAGGAGACGGGCGGGGAGGAGCAACACAAACGAGCTGACGACATCGAGGCTGGACAAAGAGAAGGAGGAGGAGAAGGATGAGGAGGTGGAGGCCTCTGCCGCCCTGCCAGGATCTGCCATTGCGGTGCCAGATCCGCCATGCGGCCTCTGCCGCCACGCGGCCAGCGGCCTGCAACTGGGGCCGTCGGCGCCCAGTGGCGTCGGACAGGGCCCTCGAAGGCCCTCGAGGCCCAAAAAACGAAGTATTCGCCACGAAAGATGTCTTCCTTCTCCTCCTCCTCCCCCTCCTCTTCCTCCTCCGCCCCCTCCTCACTCACTCTCCTCCTTCCTCCCTCCTCCTCCTTCTCCTCCTCCTCCTGCTTCCCCCCTTCCCTCCTCCTCCTCCCTTCTCCTCCCCCTTCCCCTCCTCCTCGCCCTCCTCTGCAAGTCCCCGCCCTGGTCGGGCCAGGCGCGAGGCGCCCAGCAGCCTCGAAGCTGATGCCTCACTTGAAGTGCATCGCATCCACGGCCTTCTTGGCCAGCGAGCTCGGCTGCAAGGACTCCAGCGTCAGCTGGCGCTTGCCGAGCTCCGTCTGCACCGCCATCGCGGCCTTCCTCAAACTCACCTTGTCAACGCCATCGGCGATGGCCTTGATCATGAGCGACGCACCCCACGCTTTGATGCACCTGCCCATCGCGCCCGAGCCACACTGGAAGATGTTCTCGTCGATCGGAAGCTCGAACGTCTTCGCCCACTTGCGAATGGCGGCTTCCTCCTGCGAGGCAGGGGGATCGCAAGAACGAGCCGAAACTGGAAGGGGGGCCGATGGGGCAACGAGGGCGCGTCGGAGGAGCGGCACCAAGTGCATATGGGGGTGCCTGGGAGCGCGGTAGCCGATGGTGAGGCGGGGGCGGGGCCGTGCGACCCCACCCCCTCCTCCCACCATCGGCTCCTCGCACGCCCAACCACCTCCGACCCACCCCTCCCCAGAACAACGAGTGCGTGGAAACCCAAGGCGGTCCTGCAAGGCGGCGTCGACCTTCTTGCGGAGGCCGACGGCGATGCCGTCCGCCAGCAAGGTGGCCTTGCCGACCGCGCGGGTCTTGTCCCACTTCTCGTCCATGCCATTCGGCAGCCCGTCGATCCAGTTGGCACCGTTCTTGAGGCCACCCTGCTCGCTCCTGAGCCCCTTCAGCGTCTTGTCCTGGTACGCGAGCAACTTCACCTCAAGCCCGTGGGACGCGACCTGGTGGATCAGCTCCTGCACCCCGTTGCCGCAATCCGTCGCGATCTTTTTGATGTGAGCAGTCTCCTCGTCGTCAGGAAAGTTCATGAACGAGACCTTCTCGAACAACACTTTGGTCGAACCCTTCATGGTAACCAACGTATCGTCCGTGTGCGATGCATCCAAGTTCACACCACCTTCCGTGCAATGCTTCTTCCTGAATGCTGTCTCCAAGGCCACCAGCTCATGCCGCTGCCTCAGGGCGCCGAGAACACCGCGGTGGTAGGTGCACGGCGGCAGGAGCTCCAAGGCACCTGCAAGCGCGTTCAGCGACGCCGACTTCAGCTCCTGACAATCCGAGTTGGTGTCCAGCGCGATCTGGATGCATCTGCGCACGACCTTCATCAATTCAGAATTCACGTGGTCGTCGTTGACATTCGTGCCCCTGACCTTCTCGAATATGGACTTCACGGACTCGAGGATGTCCTGCGACAGGATCTCTGCATTGGCAGCCTTCGTCAGCTCGACCTTGAAGTTTGCCACCTCCCCGTCCGCGGTGATCTTGACGAGCATGTCGGCCGCGTCGCTCTCCGCCTCGACCAAGAAAGCCTCGCTGTGCCACGCGATCCTCTGGTAGGAGATCATCTCAGCGAAAGACTTCGACCCCGTCAAAGATACAAGCCCTTTGGCAGCGCGCTCACGCATGCCCATGACTATAACGCGCGCCCTGTCCAAAGCACTCTCCTTCAACTCGCCCCCGTAGGTGCGACCGAGCACATCCAGCAAACCCAACAAGTTCTTCGCAAGAACAGCGCCGGTATGGCAAGTTAATCGCCACTCCTCGCTCTCACCACAAATATCTGGCATCTTGGTCGTCAAAACCACATTCGCATGCTCGACTTCCTGGTTCATGGTAGTTAAGCCTTGCGAGGTCTTCCTCAAGTCGGCAAGCAGGTCCACGTAGATCGGCGTCGCAAGGATCGAGCGGGCGATGCGCTGCGCCATGGGGTCTTTAGCCTTCGCGTCGGACAAGATGGTGACGTGGTGCTTGACCCTCGAGGCGAAATCGTCCAGGGTGGCCGCGTCGAGACCGTGGAGGAGCGTGCTCAGCGCGAGGGTGATTTCCGAAAGCGAGCAAAAGAACCCCAAATACTCTTCGGGCATGTCGCTGGAGGCGACGATCTCCGAGACCTTGTTACCAATGATGTCGACGGCCGTGGTGAGCAGATCCTGAGCGCTCTTGCCTGCCTCAATGCAGGGACAAAGCCAGTCGTTGATAAAGCAACCCAAGAACGTGCCGATCTTGATCTCTGGCTCCAGCTTCAGAGCGCTCAGTGTAGGCGAAGAACTGATAAACGAATCGGTGTGGCTAGGATTGCATGGCAACGTCGAAGCAAAGAACGCTACAAATGCATCGCCGTCGCTGATCTGCTTCATCTTCCGCCTGGACTCTCGCATGCACAGCTTCAAGTTCACGGCGTCGGGTAAAGCCCCGTCGGTCTGAACCAGAAAAAGAACGGCTTTGGCAACTTCATCGTCCTGGTAGGTATCCTGGTGGGCAACGGATACAATGTGAGCCATCTCGAACTTCTTGATGTGGGCCTTGAGGTCAGCGGCTCCCTGGGACCACTTCAGCTCACTGCCGTGCTCGCGTACCCATTTGTTGGCGTGGTGCAGCGCATTGCCCAAGTTCCCTTTCACCATCTCCATCTCGCAATCTAGATTCTTGATGTGCTTGTAGGGGCCCTGCTTGCTGTCAACAGTTCCTCCGATACCACTGGCCGCGCCAACCATAGTAGATGCAGCCACCTGCGACGCTGAGTCGTCGAGGCCGATGTCGTCGTCAGCTGCGAAGGGCGAGGCATCAAGATCCGCGGCGGGGCTCTTCTTCCCACGCCTGCTCCTCTTGGTAGGGGGCATGCCGACATCCGAGCGCGATCTGCCGAAAGCCGAGGGCAACTGGATCACGCCGCTGAGAGTGGCGTCGCCCAAGCCGCTGGCCGCGCCATCTGCATCGGCCTCATCCTCCCCGACGGCGCTGCCCGCTGCCGCCGCGCTAGGCGATCCAGGTGCAGCACCCTGCGGCACCTCGTCGGCCGCCTCGCCCGCTTCGTGAAGCTTGAGCGGCACCAAGTTGAACTTCCCCCTCGTGGCGTTGATGCACGGCAGGTCCTTCGCCACAAGATCTGCGTCGAACTCAGACTTCTGCGTGCTGAGGCCCTTCTGGTAAAAATCGACGACCTGGCCGTCGTAGAAGACGTCGTCTGGGCGCACGGGCGTCGACCCAGCGGTGACCCTGTGGAAGGTGCAGAAGCTCATGGTGCGGCGCGCCCCAGGGAAGTTCTCGAACAGCCACACCTTTTCCGTCTCCCCCGCGACGCCGCCTCGAACTGGGATCGACATGCTCGGATGGTGGCGCACCACGCGCTGCAAGGGCTCGTTGCCGCCGTGGAAGTACTTGAAATCCGCCTTGTTCAAGATGGCAACCTTGCGCTTCACCTTGACGACGCTGCCGTAACCCACCGAGACGTTGTCGCCGCCGCCCATCAAGCCGACCGTGTCGAGCGCGGTGCGCTGATCACGCTTCGCCCAAGACACCTCCGCCGCATGCACCTGCGCCTTGAAGTAGGCGTTCTCGGCAGCCTTGCTGCTCTTGCGCTCGATGACCTCGTCGATCGGCATGTGCGAGAAGACGCGTATGTACAGCTCGGCGATGCTGCGCTTGACAGGCACGGGGCGGCCCTCGCGACCCGCGATGGTCACCTGCGGGTCCTCCTCGGGGGCAGGAGGGGTGGGAATGAAATGAAAC